TACTATTATTATATATATAATTAATATGATATATATCTATATCATAATTGTATTTATATAATTAATTATTTATTCATAATTATAAATATTATATATATAATGAAAATCTAGAAAGTATTTCATCTTCATTAAATTTTATTCATCATTAAGAAATTTCAAATTAAATTTCAAAAAATTAAAAGAATATTCATAAAAATATTCAATACAAATTAAACATGTATATAAATATTAATATAAATAATATATTAAATATAAATAATATAAATAATAATAACGAAGATACATTATATAACACCAATCATCGTAAAGAATGATTAATATTTTAATGTCATAAAGAATTAAGTAGTATTGATAAGGGTCACAATAACGAAATATGATTAATCAACACAATTTATTCATTATGATAAAAAGATAAGAATAATAACAAAAGATGAATAACAAAAAATAAAATTGATAATAACAATAAACAATTATGATTAATTACATAAATAAGAATACTATATTATAATTAAGAATGAAGTGATGACATCAACAGTCACAAAAAATTACCTATATATACAGAAATTGTTACACGTGACGTGGTAACCATTAAAAGATATATATATAGGACTGGTAATCCTATATATATTTAATTATAGTAATTTATAGAATTTTTTTAAAGGACCTTGTATTCACTATAACTACTTTTAAGTCATAAAATTAGTATGTTACTTCACACGTACTATGTTTACGGGTTCATCCACGATACGAATTTTACTACTTAAAATAGTATATCCTTCATTTATGGTCCATCTATATAGATCTAAAGAACAAATGGCCTTCCGCCTATATAAGAACTCAATAGTAAGAAACTATATTTTATTAAAATGATGCGAAGAGCAAGAAGAGCAACTGCACCTCGTGCAAGACGTAATTTAAAATCTACTATGGCAGGAAATTTAAAAGCTGCCTTCCAACAAAGAGACAGTACTCAAGTAGTATTAAATGCTACTGAGACTGTACAATTAGCTATTCCAGCTAATACTAATGGTGCAACTACAGTACGTAATGTAACTAAGTTGCTTTGTGGTACTGAATTCTTCCAACATTATGCTGGAATGTATGATCAATTTAAAATTGATGGTGTTTCAGTATCAGCTGAAATTGTATACAATACATTTGGTCAAGCTGCAATGACTTTCCCTAATGTTATTACTGCATGGGATAGAAATGGTATTGATAAAGCTACTGCTAATGTAGTAACCAATCCAGAAGGAGGACAGAATATAACTAATGTTCCAATTGTACCTGGACCATATCAAGTGAGTTCATATTCTAGTGCTGTAAGTAGAGCATATTATCCTGGAGCTAGATGGGGTATTACAAGAAGACTTATTGCTTCATCACTTCAAGAAAAGAGTATTTATCTTCCAACAGTTAAGACTGCTGAAGTATTGACTGAATCTACTTTATATGCTGCATGGAATCCTGATTTCCTTCTTTCTGTTCTTTTAGGTAATCAAACAGCTACATGCCAAACACTTGTATTTAATTTAACATGGTCATGGGTTGTTTCACTTAGAGGATTAAGAAAGAGTACACTTGATGTTATTCCAATTCCTAATGCTAATTCACTTGGTTATGCTGGAACTAATGCAGGTACTGTTGCAAGTGGAACAAATAATACTATGATTCCTGCTTCAATGACTGTTGATAATAATGCTGGAGTGGTTACTGTTAGTAATCCAGTTTATACTACACAAGTACAAAATACAGGAGGAGTTACTTCTGTTTCTAATAATTCATGGACTGTTGATGCACTTAAGATGTATTTGAATGAGATTATGTATAATATTGGTACTAGTAAAGTTGATGCTATTTTATTTGATGTTAATAATGTACATGTTCTTCCTCAAAATTCTGCTTCTACTGCTATTAATATTCCAGCTGGTTCTGCTACTCAGATGTCTTGTGTTATGGTTGCATTTGGAACTGCTATGACTATGGGTAATGGTGTTACTGGTTATAATTTCAGTATATTTATTTGTGGTAATGGTAATGATGCTCAGCATGTAATCAATGTTGCAACTGATAACAATACTCTTGTTGTTTATTCTGATTCATTTACTGTTTATGGAATTAATCTTCCTAATCAATCTGGAGCTACAGCTGAATCTGTTGTTACTACTTCTTTGTTAACTACTGTAGGAAGTACTACTACTAATTCACCTGCTATTATGTATGCAAATACTTCTTCTGGAGCTGATGCTGCTGTTGATGTTGCAGCTGGTAGTGTTTTAACTGTTAGTGGTACTTATCAAGCTTCTGTTGCTTATCCAGTTGTTAAGGCATTACAAAGCTTTGTTACTGGAGTTAATAGTAATGATGGACATGCATTATTAGAAAATTATTAAGCTAAAATTGCTAGTAATAATTAAATTAATTTTTAATAAGTTGGAAAGTAGTTAATTTTGAATTGTGTTAGAGTCATTGAGTCATCTATATAAATGGCGTCTATAGTTGATCCATATGATTTCATTGTTGACGCAAACATTGCAGTGTTATTACTGTCTAGGAATCTTAACATATTGCAATTTCTCATTATATAAAAATAACTTTTTTCTGGTTCGAATTGGTATATATTTCCTGCTTTTATTTCTTCTATTTGTAGTCCTCCGTCTTTATGTTTTAGTATTGTTAAATCGAAACTCATTGTTTCGTTTATTTTTATTATACCTGTCGATGTTGGTTTTATTAAAGCTATATTGTGTACGTATGTTAAGTTTTCTGGTGTTATTGGTGTTAAATCTTCTGTATTTTCTATAGTTGTTATTGTTAAATCTGAAGGTTCTATTACGTAAGATGTAGAAGAGTCTTGTATGTAATCAATTTTTAGTATTTGAGGTATATTAATTGTCAAATTTACTTGTTTTAAGTAGTAATTGTCTGTTTTTTTTATTTCGTAATAACCACTTTCTGTATATGTTTGACTTATTGTTTCTTCTGTAGGTTGTACATTTGTAGTTACTATTACTGAATCTAAGTAAGGTATATTATTATCTGGTGTAATGGCGGTTGTCGTATTTTCAGTAATTGTCACTGTTTTTGTTTGACTTGAAGGTATTACTTTGGTCACTAAATTTATATTATTAATATAGTTATCACTTGTCAGTTGAATGGTTCCATTGTTACTCGTTGTTATTGTTGGATTATCTATTGTCATATGAAGATTGTATGTAGTGTTGTTTATAGTGTCTTCCTTTCTTAATAATGTTAGAGTTGTATTAGAAACTAAAGACATTTAAATGAATAATAAAGATTAATTTAAAGTTTTATTTGTTATTTGAAGAGTTATTACTTGTTTTTGTTTTGGTTGAAATTTTAAAGTTACTTTTTCATAAGCTTCATGTACATTTGGTTCTAATGTTATGTCTTCTCTATTATTAATGTCATCGTTTGTAATTGTATAGTTTAAATCTACTAGTGTTATGTCTGGATTAGGTTCATTATCTTCATCTTCTGTTGGAGTGCAAATATATCTATCAAAGGAGCAGGTTATATACCATTGGAGATTGAAGTCTATTAACTGGTCTTCTTCTCCTATGTTTGTTTTATTTGTTGTTTCTACTGCTATAATATACCAAGGATAAAATGGGATAGTTACATTTTCATTTGTATAAGGATTCCAAGAGATATTATTTTCATCGTAAGTCCAAAAACCTTCTACTCTTGTTGGTCCATAAAAGTTTTGTTCTTGAATAGTTTGTGCTTTAATTATTGTTGTTATTTGAAATGCTCCACCTGGGTAATATATTTGTTGTTGTATATGACTACTATTTTGAACCATTTTTAATTGTGCTTCAGGTGTTGTTGTTTCATTTTCTGTTTTTATATATGTAGGGAACCATGAAACTGATACAGTTGGAAAGTGAAGTCCTATTTCTTTCATTTTAATATCAGATATGGATAATACTGCTAATGCTTTATCTATTTTTACTCTTTTAAAACATTTACAGAAGGAATTAAAATTTGTGTTTTTGAATAAATCATAAAATATATGAGTTGTATCTATTCCAAAGTTTTTATTTTCTTTTATTAATACTCTTTTTTTAACATTAAATGAAAATTCAACTTGATGAGTATTTTCAGGACAATTATTACGTGTATGTATCATTTGAATATAAAGATGAACTTAAAAATTCATAATATGTCAACAGAAAGCAGTGATTGTCATCACTCTGAGTCTTGTGTTGAAAAGGTGTTTAAAGATAGTACATGGAATGTAATTAGGAAAGTTGTTATGTTAGTACTTTCATGTATATTACTTATTGCTTCGTGTTTTTTTGCTTTTATTGAGAGTAGAAGACAAAATCAAGTTATGGATGGTATAGAAGAAGTGTTAGATGTAGTAAAAGTATTAATTCCTAATTAATTTATTTGTATCTTAATCTTTATATTTTAATTATGAGTTGTTTACATGATGTACTCCTTATGTTCATTCTTTTTACTTTGCTTGTTTTATGTTGTTGCATGCATGGTTGTATTCGAGATGATGGTTCTGTTTCACGTTTATGTTGTTGTCCAGGATCTTGTCAATATCATGGGATTTGATGTTTAAACTCAATACTCAGTAACTTAATAATTTAATGTTTTTTGACTTATACGGTGTTCCACGTTTAAATTTACATAAGAAACGGTATGGTAGTTATGGTTCTATTCATGGTTGGTATGGTAATTATAAATTTGTTAATAAGAAGCCATATACTTATCAACGTGTATATGATAGAAGTCCAAGTAATAAGAGGAATGAATTTGATAAAAGGTATAACAGAGATTATGATAAGAGGTATGAAGAGACCAAACCTAGAAGGCCCGATAGTAATAGACCTCAGCGTCCAACTAATAAGAGACCTACACAAGATAGAAGACCTTCTCAAAAGGATAAACCTGGTAATCGTCCTGAAAATAAACGACCTGTACAAGATAGAAAGCCTACTAATCCAAATCGACAACCTGTTGATCAAAAGAAGCCTAGACAGCCTACTCGACCTGAACAAGGAAAGCCTACTAATCCTAATAATAATCCTACACAGAAACCATCTAAGATTGATGACAAGTATGATCCAGATTTAGGTAAGATTGTTGATAAAAAAATAAAAGAGATAGAAGATAGAACTGATAGTTTGTTTGATAAGGGAAGTTCTAGTAAGGAGAAGGATAGTTGGTGGAAAGATGTTAAGGATAGTATTGGTGATCGTGTTAAGGATATTTCTGAACGTTTCCCTAAAGATTTGAAAGATGTCATTAAGAATAATCCTGCAGCTAAATTGGATGCATCTTTAATTAGGGCTATGTTTGATAAAGGTATTAAAGTTGGTGGTAGTTTGTTAGGAACCGCTCTTACTGCTGCTGCTGGTGAAGGAGGAAAAGATTTGTATAAAGGTGTTAAGGATCGTTTAAATCGTGATAATGTTCCTACTAGAAAGAATACTACACAAGATAATATTAAATATATGCGTGAAAAGTATATTAAAGGTAATAATGTTAAGAATGATGATTTAGATGCTATTAAGCAAATGTTACTTGATGATCCTTCATTGGTTAAGGATTATGTTCATGTTATTTTTACTGAACAAGAGTTAGGTAAGTTGTATGAAGATGATCGTGATTATGGTAGTATTCCTCTTCCAACTGTTATACGAGATGAATTACATTTTGTTCCTGCTAGAGTTCTTAAGAAAGATGGTGAAAGATATTATGCTCCCGATTATTATGTTAATGATAGTAAAGGTATTGTTATTGATCCTAAATATCAAAATCAGCTTTTAAAGAATGGTAATGAATTTGAATTGTTTCCCGAATCTTTGGGTGAATTACTTCCTGATGATCTTCAAGAGTATAATGCTCGTCGTCTTACTTTTATTTATGAACAATTACCTGATGAATTAAGGCGTCATATTCGAACTGATTTTACTATTGATCATGCTGCTGCTTATCGTTATGCTAAATTATTGAATATTCAACTTCCTAGGGAATTACTTACTGGTAGTAATGATGATTATTATCATAAAATTAATTATGGTATGCGTACTCATGAACGTTTTGGTAGTGGTCGTAGATGGTTTGAATCTAGTGACTTTGAGAAGAAGAGTAATCTTATTGAATATATGAGAAATCATTATATGTGGAATCGTGATGGTGGTGATAGATTGGTTTATCCCGATGATCCTAATCGCAGTGGATTTAATTATCTTAAGGGTCTCGGTAGTTCTGAAAATGAAGATGAATGGGGCAGTGTTTTATTGAAAATTAGTCCAACAGATCCTGATACTTTTAAAGTGTATACGCGACCTGATGGACGTAAAGTTTTTGTAGAAAATAAACAAAACGAAAATCATATTTACAATTTGAAATAATCAATTATCTTCTTTTTTAGGCTTTGTTTCTTCTACCTTTTTATCTTTTATTATAAATCTGTTTTTATAGGGCTTCTTTTCTTCTTTCTCTTCTTTGTTTATTTCTTTCTTTTTCTTTGGTAGCTCCCACATTAAGCCCTTTTTATTAGCTATTCTGTATACAAGAGACCAGTATGGTTTCTTTAATGCTACCTTCTCTTCCGCTGATGTTTCTTCATCAATTATATACATTAATTTATTCATCGTTTCGATGAGTTCTTCATCGTTCATTTCTTTGTATTTGCCCAAAGCAAAATCGGCTATGATGTCTCTAATGCTTGTAGTCATGGTATGATTAAACAGATTAAAACGGTTCTTTAAATAGTCAATTATCTAGTTCTAACTTTATCTTCGCCCCCAATTGTTGATGTGGCAAAGTCGAACTGTGGATCTTCTAATGGTTCTACTGGTTCTATTGGTATTTCTGCTTCACTATCTTCTTCTATAATTAGATTTAACGGGTAATCGTTTTCTTCTTTTTCTATTTCTGGTTTCTCTTCTTTCTGTTCTTTTTCTTCGGTTGGTTCTTTTCTTTTTGTAGAAGGTGGTTGTTGTATAATTATAACTTCTGATTCTAACATTAGTAATCTATAATTGTAATCATGGAGTGCTTCTTCTTGCCATCGTTCGATAAGTTCTTCGAGAATTTCTTCTTCTATTAATAGAGGATGACGTTTTAAGTATTTCTTAATTTTCTTATTAACAAATTTATTTATTTCTGTTATTTTATTTATAGGATCTTTCATCTTTTTGATCTTTTCTTGTTTTCTTGTTTTTCGTTGGAGTTTTCTTGATTCTTTAGCTTGTCTTTCTAAATTACCTTGTGTTCTATCATCAAGTAATTGAATTGGATAATTTATTTTCTTCTTTTCTGAATTATGTTTAAAGTTCTGCCAATATTTAGCATCTTCTGGTACAGGATCTAATTTTATTTCTTCTGGCATATGATCATCATACCATTCTAATTCTTGTCCATCATCTTCTAGTATTGGTTCTTCATTTTCTACTTCATTTGGTATATCGACGGATTCTAAAGGTATAAAGTCCGGTACAGGTTTAGCTTCTTTTAATACTAATTCTCTTTCTTCTAATTCGTTTAATTTAATCTTTATACCTTTAGAATCGTCGTCAGGTTTATTACCGTTGACGTCATCATTATTTTGTATTTTCTTGGGAGACTTCTTTTTCTGTTCTGGTTTAATTATTATTTGTTGATATGGTAGAATCTCTTGTATTGGTTGTTGAGGTGGTAAGTTATTAATTCTAGGTGGATTAAAGAACGTTGACGTTAGTTTCTCTTCAAATGGTCTTTTAGCTTGATATTTAACTTTACCTTTTCCATCTTCTCTATTGTCTTCACTATCCGAAGAACTATCATCTCCTCTTTTCTTATAATTATCATTAAAGAAGTCATCTAATTTTCTATATCTTTTTCTATTCTTTTCATCTTCTTCATCGTCATCCATTGGTTTTATTGCTTTATATTGTTTAGGTGGTATTATAAAGTTATCAGGATCTTTAACATCTTTATGTATTTCTATTTCTTCTTGTAATGGTTGTTCTTTTAATTGTTCTAGTATTGATGGTATTCTTTCTTCTTTTATGTTATCTGCTAGTATTATTTTCATTAGTAATTACTATAGGAATCTCATTTATGTTTTCTTCTGTTATATCATTTTCTATAATTTCATTTCTTCTTCTTACATCTTCTTCTACTCTACTTAGAGTATCAATTAATTCATTTTCATTGTTTATATCTATTATTCCATCAAGTATTTTTAATGTATTATCATCATATGTTAATACTTGTTCTTGATTATTTGGATTAACTATTTCATATGTTA